ATGGCATGATGGTGGTGATCGATTTTTGGAGTAGTGCTGGGAATATGCAATCTGGCCCTGGGGATTTATAGGGCTTGAAGGATGACACCGCCCACGAAATTTTCTCCATACTAACAATGTAACTGACTAATTCACTTATGTGGATTCGAGAAGCTGCGAGGTGCTCCAAAGTGGAGCCTTCATTTTCATCATCTCTGCAACCCGGAAAGTGTGTCTCCATAAGTAGTTCCAGAGTTTCGGTGCTACTTTCAGTAAAGTTACCATCCGGTTTCATCAGGAATCCAGGCGTACCGGGGTCTTTGGATAGCACCTTACGTAGACGTGATGCCTCCGTGGTACTCTCCAGCTCCTCACAGAAACGCTTCCAGGATTCCTTCTTAGCCCTTCTGGTTTCCCTCATGAAAGTATTGAAGCTTGGATAGTAGGTCAGACACAAATTTTCAACTCTGTCGGTCAAGAACTGCCGGCATTAGAGGCTCAAAAGAAAGCTTAGACCATTGCCTTTAACCCATTTAAAAAAATTAAATTTAAATATAATTTTAAAAAATTTTTAAATTTTTTTAAATTCTTTTTTACTTTTGTTCGAATTTAATATGAGAGACAATTGTCCAACTAGTAAAGAAATGTATTTAAAAGTAAATAAATGTGACTCAAAACAGAATAACGGTTCTCCAAAAGTCGTGTTTATAACAGAAAATTAAAATCAATTTCATGCTGCATGTTCCCTAACTTTTAACTATTATAACTTTTTAGTTTTTGAAGATTTTTTAATTTTTCTTTTTTGTCTTTTTTAAGCTTTTATTATATTTAATAATAGCAATAACTTTTTCAAAAGTATAATTGAGGCTAAGGTCTCCACGTCTTTTAAAGTTCACCGTTAATTGTAAGCAGTGATGCCAAGTGTAGGGATTTTTCCCTTTTTGTAGGGATTTTTTTCAAAAATTTCACGTGTAGGGAAAAAGGGAAAGAATTCTTACTATTGTCAAATTGTAGGGATTTTTCAATTTCATAGTTTTTAACAACTAAAAATATACTCTTTCATGTATTAAACTTTAAAATTAAAAATGAAATCAGTTTTAAGTGTATCGTTAGTAAAAATTCCGTTTATAATTTCTACAATATATGTACCTACATATCGCTACAAGACTGGCATAATCCAAATTTCGGGTATCTTGAACTGAGGTCTACAAAACATGCGACATACTAAAATCTTTCATATAGATTTATCAAATTTCTAATATGCCTATTATCGATGTGAAATCGATTTTTTGTAAACGTAAAAACTAAAACCCACGTTCTCGTGAATATTAGACAACTAAAAAATTAATTTCAATTTAGATTAGAAACATATTAACCTCAACTATCAGAATCTGGATTTTTAAAATCCCTTGATTTGTTTAAAAGTTATTAAAAAAATAGTTAAATGTCATTAAATATTCATATCCATTTTTCTTGAAACGACTTTTTGGATTATGCCAATCCTGTAGGGCGATATATTCTGACTGCTTATAGATAGAGTAGTCGGGGGCTTAATGCAGTAACTCAGGATTGAAAAAATGAATTTCAAATTTTTACCCGTTTTCCCCTTTTGTCCCTTTCTGGACCATGTTACGAAAAAAATATATAACCATCAGGGATTTTCAATTACAATTACATTTGAAGTAATTGTAATTGAAGCTTTACCAATTACAATTACTTGTAATTGAAGTTTTGACAATTACAATTACATGTAATGGTAATTTAAGTTTTGCCAATTACAATTACTTGTAATTGTGAATTTTGTTCCTTATAATTACATGTAATTTGTAATTAGTAATACTTTAATGACAATTACAAGTATTTTTAATTGGAAACTTCAATTACAATTACAAATAATTGTAATTGGCAAAACTTTAATTACAATTAGAAGTAATTGTAAATGGTTATTGGTCAATTACGCATTACAAGTAATTGTAATTGGAAAAATTTAATTACAATTACAAGTATTTGTAATTGGTTATTACTCAATTACACATTACAAGTAATTGTAATTGACCATGTAATAAATTACTTTGTGTAATCATTACCCCCCATGTCTGATAACCATTGATGCTTGCTAGTGTAGATCTATCAAGTTTTTAAAATTGGTGTGGTCGTAACATGTACTGGCGTAATTAGAACATGCACAAAAGTGCAAAAAGTACCAAAAATACAAATATTTTCCCGTTTTTACCCGTGTGTTTTAAATTTTTCTAAAGGTTAATAATTAATTGATATTATTTTAAGTAATTTTTCACTCATTTTTCACACATAATTTTGACTCTATAAATATCTTTCTTACAAATGAATGTAGAATGCCCTATTTTGCCCGTTTTTACACCCTGAAATGTTGACAGCCGCAAAAGTACTTTACTAATACATATATTTAAAAGTTTTGATAAAACACAAATATTTCCACGTTAGAATAAACAATTAACATTATAGAAGAAAGTACTAGTTTTACACGTTTCCCCCTTTTTGTGCCTTTCCGGTCCAAGAAGAAAAAATTATATAGCCTATTGACATTTTCATAGCATTATGTTTAATAATTTCAAAATTCAGAGTTTAGTCCCCCTAAAATTGCAAAATCTGTCACTGTGAACCGGTTGAAAACCCGAGTCGATCACCCTAATAAATAATCCTTGAGAACTCATGTACACATAATTTATCTCTTACTTAGATATTTAGGTATAGTGTTCCTACGGAGGGTCGATTTTTAGTCGACATTTATGCTGAGAACTGTACAGAGAAATTTGTTGTTAAAAAAGAAAGGAAGAAAAACCCAAACCCACACATTTAGTTGTTTTACTTGTCAAATTTGTTTTCTATTTCTAAATGCTCTTTAGTTTACTCCATATTAGTGATTTTTATTCACTTAAGCGGCCTTAACTGTTTTATCTTTTTCATAAAAGTATAGCACAAAGGAATTCTTATTTCATTTTCAGTTATTATTCTATCTATTGATCATTTTGTTTAAACACATACAAATGTACAATCAAATAACGGCACTCACATCCTCCACTAATTTATTGAGGGGATATGTGTATTTATTCATTTACCGTTTGAACACTCAAATTTTAAGCAAACACAAATCTAGCGGTTTTTAAGGTTCTTTTTTCATATATATTTATTTTTCGCGCATTTTAACATTCCTATACAAATATGTAGGTACATATTTCTAAATGTGTTAGTCACTTGTATTGTATACTAGCTATGCTCAGTTTGTTTTGCTACCCTGATTGAAATTTGAGCAGGAATTTTAAGAAAAAAATATATATATTTTTTGTAATTAAATGAATAAATGAAATGAATACATTATTCTTGAGATAAAAATTAATGATAAAAACAAATAAAACAGCAAAAAATTCTAAAGCTTTATTAATATTCGGTTTTTTTATAACTTGTTACATAAATTCTTAAAATATGATTTTAAAAATAAAACTAGTATCTGGTAGGTAGCCATTATTTTTTACATCTTCAGATAGACGATTTGGCATAATAGAGAAAATATTTTCAAATAATCTATCTAATTTTATCCCATTCATCTTGCAATCTTTTTTTGGGCTCATTTTTAGAAGAAATTGGACTTGTACGATTTTGTCAATCTAAATCAGTCACGAGCAAAACTGAAATTCTAATGCACGCGTGCATAGGCCAAGAAATTCTGCTGACGCTTTGTTGACACACCTACACTATAAGCTTGTGTGTATTAGTGTGTCTGTGTTTTACTAAAATGACCACTTGTTTGTTGCTTTGTTACGATCTCAGAGATCAAAATCAAATCAGTTGCTGTTCAGCTTTTGTAGAAGCAAGATCACGTTGCGGATTTTTTTATGCTTATGATTTTTTCTCTTTTATTACACCTAGCAAAATGTTTGATATAAATTGGGAAAATGATTTCTTTTTTATAGAAAACATGGACGGTGAGGCACAATGCGTCGTATGTTATAAAATTATATGTAGAAAAGCTTTATTTTTTTGAAAAGGCATTATGAAACTTGCCATGGACCCTTAAATGACCTTAGGGGACATGACAGAAAAGTAAAGTTGTTGCCATTAAAAGGTTAACCGATCAACACATTGGTGACTTATTGCGTATTAAGGAATATAAAGGAAACATTGATTTGGATAGATTAGTTGAACTTTAAATTAAGTTCAGTTAATATCTCGGTAATATCCCTTAAAAGTTCGAAATCGAATAGAAAGTCGTGATTTTCTTAATGATATTTCAGTAGTTTTATTTAATACTACTTTTTAAAAATACTACTACTTTTCTTAAATGAAAAACTCTTTCCCTTTATTCCATTTTTGTTTAAAATTCCCAAAAGTTCATGAGTTTTTCTCGTCGTAAAAAGTATTTGCAATAGAAAACAAATTTCAAAACTTTTCTCAGTGTACCACCATTTTGTTATAACGTGCAGTCATCTCTCTGCTGCTTAACGCACACAAATATACACATGGTGGTATGTGTTTGCCCATGACTGATCTAAATAGACGTTCATTCACAAATTTTAGTCGGTACGTTCCATCCTTATTATTTACTATCGCCTTCTTACTAGACACTCGGGCATTATATCTGATATATATTTACTTTGTGTTAATTTTTATTTTATATTTTTAAATTTTGTTAATCATATTTTCATTGAAATTGTAATTTTAATTTGCTTTTGAATTTTAAAATATTTTGTTGAGTTCTGAATAAAATTTGAATAGAAAACATACACAATAATTGGCGACGAGGAAATTTTTTATAAAAATGGAAAAACAATTTGCCCAAATGCTTAAGGATCAGCTCTTGGACACAACAATTGCTTGAACAACAACAAAATTTTTTTTCACGTTATATAAATAACGTTAACACAACTCCGAAGAAGAACATTCCGCTTTTTTCCAAATTTGAGATCAGTTCAGACAGTTTTTCAGCTTATTCCAATCAACTAAAAGAACATTTTAAAGCGTATGATGTCCAAGACGCCGAGCAAATGAAGTCCTATTTTTTATCGTGGATGGGTCAAGATTTATTTGAATTGGCAAGCAAATTGTTCGGAACAGAAAAACTTCAAACCAAAACTTTTCAAGAAATCATTTGTAAGCTGGAACAATATTATGCATCGAAAGTTCATGTGGTAGTAGCAAGATTTAAGTTTCACAACAGATTGATGCAAGAAGGTGAGTCTTATGCAAAATGGTTACTTGAATTGAAGGGATTATCTAGAAATTGTTCATTTACATGCAAAAATTGTCAAATGGAATACGTTGATGAGATGATAAGAGATGCACTTATTTTAAATACGTCACATGAAATAGTAAGAACTGCAGCTTTACAAAAACAAAACCCATCTTTGGAGGAAGTCATCAACATAGCAGAGACCTATGAATCAACACAATCATCATTGGAAACAATAAGAAACAACAGCCTTCCGCAAGAAGTTCAACAAGTTAAATTTAGAAATCATAATCCAAAGTACCAGCAACAAAATAATCAAACTAGCAAAAGACCAAGCAAAATATCACCTGAAAATCAATTACCATCATGTTCTGGTTGTTTCAAAAATCATAAAAAACAAAATTGTAAGTTTCGCAATGCCAAATGCCACAGATGTGGAAAAACTGGTCACATAGCCCCGGTATGTAAATCTAAAAATGTTAATAATATAGAGAATTCTGAAAAGTTAGTCTCTGATTCTGAGCATTGTCACCAAATGAACAATCTTTTAATTAGAAAGGATAAGAAATTATTAGTTAATGTTCAAGTCAATGAGCATAAACTTGAATTCCAGTTTGATACTGGTGCATCATGTTCAATGATTGATTTAAAATCATATAATCTTTTCAAAAAATTGCCTATATATAAAACCGACATTGTTTTGAGAGCTTATGGTAATCAAAATATCCCTGTTCTCGGTATGTTAAAGGTAGATGTCTCATTGGGTTCTGAAACCAAACCTTTGAAATTGTTAGTGGCCAATACAAATGAAGGCTCAAATATTTTCGGCATTGATTGGTACGATGCGTTTAAATGTGTTAATGATATTTTCCAGTTGGAAAGTCTGCATGAGCAAAATATTTCAAAAAAAATATCCTAAATTGTTTTCAAATTTATTAGGTTGTTGCAATATGTTTAAAGCTCATTTGTATTTGAAGGAGAATGCCATTCCAAAGTTTTCAAAAGCAATACCTATTCCTTTTGCACTTCAAGAACAATTTAAAGAAGAAGCTAAACGTTTAGAAGAATTTGGAAGCCTATATCATATATTCCTTGGGCTTCTAAAATCGTTATAGTCCCCAAACCTGATTCTAAAATCAGAATTTGCGCTGATTTCAAACAAACAGTTAATCCCCAGTTGGACATGGAACAATATCCCATTCCAAAACTAGAGGATTTATTACATAAATTAAGAGGTGGTTGTAAATATTCAAAAATAAATTTGTCTGATACTTATTTCCAAATTGCCATGGATGAAGAATCGAAGAAAATATTAGTTGTTAACACCCCTCTTGGCTTATTTCAATACCAAAAGTTGCCTTTTGACGTTTCTAGTGCACCGGAAATTTTCCAACGTTTTCTCCAACAATTAATTTCTGATATTCCTAATACCTTTAATTATCTGGACGATATAGTTGTAACGGGTAAAACTCATGAGGAACATGAGCAAAATTTGGAAAAACTCCTATTAAAATTAGAGAATGCTGGTTTAACATGTAATATAGCATGCAGGAAATTGAAAATCTTGGTAATATAATTAGCAAAAACGGAATTGAGCCATCCGATAAAGGTATTATTGCCATTCAAAATTTACCTAGACCAAAGAATCTACATGATTTGCAAGCTTTCATGGGTAAAGTTACATACTACATGAAAAACATAAACAACTTTTCTACTTTATGGGAGCCTCTCAACAAATTGAGAAGAAAGAATATTCCCTTTGTGTGGGGAAAATGCCAAGAAGAAGCTTTTCAAAATCTTAAACAGCAACTTATTTCAACAACTAAACTTTCTCATTTCGATGATAAATTACCATTGTTATTAGCCACTGATGCGTCATTTTTTGGGTGCCGTTATTTCCCATGTTTATCCCGATGGTTCTGAAAGACCTATAGCACATGCTTCCAAAACGTTAAATGCCCATCAAAAGAATTATAGCCAAATCGAAATGGAGGCGCTAGCTATAATATTTGGAGTAAAGAAATTTCACGAATATCTTTATGGTAGGAAATTCACATTAATTGCTGACCACAAGCCTCTCGTGTCAATTTTCAATCCACAAAAATCGATACCTATACATTCCGCAAACCGAATTCAACAATGGGCACTATTTTTGTCAAATTATAACTTTGATATTAAATACAAATCTACCAATAATCATCAAAATGCTGATGCATTATCAAGGTTACCATTGGAAAGTGATACAGAAATTGATATTGAACTAGATAAAATGGATATATATTTAGCGGAAGAAATATGTTAATTTCCTGTAGATGCTACAATAATTGCAGATTGCACAAAAAAGGATAAACTACTATCCCAAGTTCTGAAATTTATAAAAGAAGGTTGGCCTGAACAAGTTGATGATATTTTAAAGCCCTATTTTAATAGAAGAGAAAACTTAACAACTCTGAATGGTGTTATTTTACTACAAGTAGATAGTCATCGAGTAGTTATTCCCAAATGTTTCCAAACTAAAATACTAAACTTACTTCACGAAGGTCATTGGGGTATCGTTAAAACTAAACAATTAGGACGCCGATATTGTTGGTGGCTTGGAATAGACAAGGCAATTGAAAATTTAATTTTAAAATGTTCACCATGTTCATCTGTACTTTCTATGCCTACAAAAGAGTTCAGTTCATGGACGAAACCTTCGAAACCCTGGCAGCGAATTCATTTAGATTTCGCAGGACCATTTAAAAATTCGTCATGGTTCATATGTGTTCATGCTTTTTCTCATTATCCTTATGTTTTTAAAATGAATTCTACAACAACATCTGCTACAATTAATACATTGAAAAATATTTTTGCAATTGAAGGTCTCCCAGAAGTAATAGTGTCAGATAATGGACCTCAATTTACTGCAGAGGAGTTTAGACTATTTTGTAATTCCAATGGGGTTACACATCTAACTACAGCGCCATTTCATCCAGCTTCTAATGGTCAAGCAGAGGTTTGTTAGATCTTTCAAAACATCATTAAAGAAAAATATTGAATCTGGAAAAAACATAGATGACAAGTTTCTTGTCAACATATCGATCAACACCGATGGAAAACGATAAATCACCAGCAGAATTACTTCATGGTCGACAACCAAGAATAATGTTGAGCTTACTAAATCCATGTGAAAGAATTTCAAATGAAAATAGAATATCCAAGTTCAAAATAAACGATAATGTGGTTGCAAGAGTATATGGAAAATCTAAACGTTGGGTCGATGCACGAATTCTAAAAGTATTAGGAAATATGTTATTTTTACTTTGGACAACTGATGATACAACTATTAAACGTCATCTAAACCAAATACGTAAATCCGTTCCTACTATTAAAGAAAAATTAGCAGACAGAGATTTTAACAGAGCTCATGAATTAGCTTATTTACTTCCTCCCCATAATAATGCTGAACCTTCTGTCGTTTCAGATCAACCTGCTGGTCATAATAATTATAATAGAAAAGGACAATCTCAAATTACATTTTCAGATCAAACAAATTCAGCTGTTTCATCGGAACCTCGTTCTTTACAGCAACCAATTGTTCGAAGATCTATGAGAATAAGAAAATTAGCAGCCAATAATTCATCAGCAGTAAATGCAAAATTAATGCGGAGGAATTTATATATATTTACTTTGTGTTAATTTACTTTTATATTTTTAAATTTTGTTAGTCATATTTTCATTGAACTTGTAATTTTAATTTGCTTTTGAATTTTAAAATATTTTGTTGAGTTGTGAATAAAATTTGAATGGAAAACATACACAATAATATCCTTGACTTTTAATCGTTCGACGAATTGTTGTTTCTGAAACAGTATTTATTAATTACTCTTTCACTTCAGAAACAATTTTAGGAGCACTTAGCGCGGATTTGGTTTTGATTTTCCAAAGTGTAAGACGCTCTTCTATATCTATCAATATTTTCGGCTACCCCGTTTATTAAATTAATTCAGCCTTCATTTTTATACATTTGTGCATTATTACCGATAGTATTTAGCTTCATATTTAATATTTCACCAATATTTTTATAGGTCTATTTATTTTCATAATGCAAAAATACTACAATAAAATTTTTTTCTAAAGGTAATTTTTTTCCGTACTAATTTTTTTCGGTTAACCGAAAATTGACCCTTTCCAGAAAACCGGTTTGTCGGTTCACCGAGTATAAAAAACTGGTAAACCGAAATGTTTGGAAATCTTTAAAATATACTATTTAGTTGAAATGTCATTTCGCGAAATATTATGAATTACTTAATAAGATATTTGCACTTTTTAGTATATATATGTACATTAATATATCATATGAAAACAAACTTATACAGATCTGAATATATGCCCAGGAAAAACTTACATTGAAAAGTAATGAGTTAAAGAGCTAATAAAACCTCTATTCACTACTTCTTCATTAACATTTTGAGTCATTATTTCAACACGGTGATGTCATTGGAGGCAAGTACTTCTACGCTCGCTTATAAATAGGGAGTTAAAGAAGTACTTGCAATTTCTCTTACAAAACAGTTGTTGACTAAGTTGTTTTGTTTTTAATAATAAAAAGAGCCAGCTAGAATACGAACCAGGGACTTCGGTTTGTTAGTCAAATGTTGTACTCACTGCACCACTGCTTAGTTATTTTATTGCGCGTCAAATAATGGTTTTCACAAACAAAACTAATTTTGTTTTACTTTTTGGAAAACACAATTCTTAAAACGCAATTAAATAAAATGTGCAAACAAAATGACAAAGCCGAAAATGAAGTACATCTCTATGAGATTATAAGAAAGTTATTACTAGAGTACCTCAAAGTAATACAGACGGTAAGTAGTAGTCATTGAAAAGTAAGTGGTTATGAAAGTACAACCCATTACCGAGTTTTTGCTGGGTGTATTATTGATTCGTTAGGTGTATGGAAGGGCGTCATGAAATAACTCCCCAAAACAAAAATGAAATAACTCCCTAAATTTGGGGACTTATTTCATTATGAAATAATTCCCCAATTTAAAAATGAAAAAAAGCCCCAACGAAATGAAATAACTTCCTAAATTAAAATGAAATAACACCCCATTTTTGGGGATTTATTTCGTATGAAACAAATCCCTAATTTTAAAATGAAATAAGTTCCCATTTAAAAATAACAAATTATGGAACAAGTCGGACATTTCTAAAAAAAAGTACGTCGCTCATACTTTCGAGTGGGGCTTCAAAGTTTAATACATTTCAGTTTAATCGCTTAATAAAGATTCCCTCAATAGCCGGCCTGCGGCCGGGCGCAAGGACTTTCTACTCTATGGTATGTCCAACAACGGCTTCGCTTAATAAATATTTCCTAAATAGCCGGCCTACGGCCGGACGCAAGGATTTACCACTCTATAATATGACCAACACCGGCTTCGCTTAGTAAAGATTTCCTAAATTGCCAGCCTTAGGACGAACACTTTTGATACAAGGAGAATGTATTCTTAGCGAAGCCGGTGTCCAATGTAACCCAGAGGATGAAATCCTTGCGCCCGGCCGAAGGCCGGCTATGAGATATATATTATTTATTTCGTGTGACAAATGTAATATAATGAAATAATTCCCCAAAAATATTTTTAGGGATTTATTTCATTTTTGAATTTTGAGGAATTATTTCATAATGAAATAACTCCCCATTTTAAATGTGAAATAATTCCCCAAAAACGAATTAAATCCCTAAATTTCGTTGTTGTTGCTTTCTGAACAAATTTTTAGGGGGTTATTTCATTTTTGTTTTGGGGAGTTATTTCGTGGGGAGTTATTTCATGAAGCCGTGTGGAAGTTGCCCTAGGACGGATAAATTGACTTTTGAATATATAATGCATCTATATCAATAAAAAAATAATGTCCAGAACAATCAAGTATAAATAGTGTTCAGGCTCACGACGATTCATCGGGAACTGAAGTAGACGACGACTGTCTCGACATAGACATTGAGCCCCTGCTTTAATTGTGACCTCCCTCCGCTCGCTACACCTGTGGTTGTTCAAATTACTGTGAATAACGCTTAGGAATATTGACAGGTGTCATTCTGACTTCCTATCAATCAACCTAAGCGCCATTACAGTTTGTGAAAAACACCAGCAGCATAACTCCCCAAAAATATTTTTAGGGATTTATTTCATTTTTGAATTTTAAGGAATTATTTCATAATGAAATAACTCCCCATTTTAAATGTGAAATAATGCCCCAAAAAACGAATTAAATCCCCAAATTTTTAGGGAGTTATTTCATTTTTGTTTTGGGGATTTATTTCGTGGGGAGTTATTTCATGACGCCGAGTTTTACTCCAATAGATTTATTAATTAATCATGAAATAACTCCCCAAAACAAAAAATTAAATAACTCCCCATTTTTGGGAATTTATTTCATATGAAACAAATCCCTAACTTTAAATGAAATAAGTTCTCATTTAAAAATTCGATATCTGGATATTAAAAAAATAGCAAATTATATTATAAAAAGTAGGTCGCGAATACTTTGGAGTGGGGTTCCCAAGTTTAATACATTTTAGTTTAATCGCTTAATAAAGACTTACTAAATAGCCGGCCTCGATGTAGTTAACCTGACAAACGCAAAACCATTCGACGCAACAAAAGCTGAATTAAAAATATGGATGAGAGAATCCCGTAAGGCCTTTTGGAATAATGAAACGGTGGGTAGAACCACAAAGATTCTATGGGGTGACCCTGATGAGAACAAGACGAGAAATCTCCTCAAAATAAGCAAGTCTGAGGTTAGTATGATGGTACGTATTCTGAGTGGACACACAGGATTACGTGCACATCTATACAAAATTGGACGTGCGGATTCAGACGAATGTAGAGCATGTGGAGAGGACAGTGAAACTCTGGAGCACTTTTTTGCCATTGTCAGGCATTCGTCGAAGTTAGATCCAAGTATCTTGGAAGTGATGTTATTTCGGAAATAACATTCTTAACCAACACCGATTGGAAGATTCTTAGGAATTACGTCCAGGAAACTGAGTTTCTGAACATGGAAAAATAATACATTCAGTAAACAATTTTTTTTTTCTTTTTTTTCATGAATTGGAGCGCACAACAGGCCCGATAGTGGCCTAGGTGTATTTCTTCGGATTTGATGTAGTATACATCCTCCTATCAACCTAACCTAACCTAAATAGCCGGCCTACGGTCAAGCGCAACGACTTTCTTCTCTATGGTATGTCCAAAAACGGTTTCGCTTAATAAATATTTCCTAAATAGACGGCCTACGGCCTGACACAAGGGGGGA